CATCCAGCAGCTGTTGGTTTTTTGCGTCTCCCCCTTTATTATATTCTTTCTCTCGTTCTATAAAACAACGGGGGGGGACGTTGAGCGCCACCCGTCCCGCAGCAGCAGCTCGCGCAGCAGCAGCAGCAGCAGCAGCAGTAGCGGCAGCAGCAGCAGCAGCAGGAACAGCCGCCGGCGGAGGAGCAGCAGCAGGGTGTCTGTCTGACGTTTGCTGCTGCTGCTGCTGCTGCTGCTGCTGCTGCTGCTGTTGCTGCTGCTGCTGCTGCTGCTGGTGCTGCTGGTGCTTTCTCACCTTTGCTGCAGCTTGACGAGGCAGACGCACAGTGTACAGGGGAGCCGGGGCGGGCCGCAGCTCCTCGAGGCCGTGGGCGTGGCGGCAGAGGAGGCCGTGGCGGCAGCCTGCTGGTGTCTGAAAGCGAATGCAGAGTTGAGTTTTATAGAAAGTTGCTGTGGCTCTGAGCTCAGAGGGGGAGTGAGAATACCGGCAATTCAAAGAAGAACAGAAACCCTTCTGCTGCTGCTGCGGACACATACGCGTTCGAGTCAAGTCGTAGACTGGGCGCAGCTCAGCTGGGCTGTGAGCAAAGCTGCATACAGCGGGGAAAGCACACGGACGGCCCCCGTCTCTGTCGCACATCTTCGTCTTGTAGAAATTATAAAATGTATGGGGAGCTGCAGGAAGACGCAGCCCTGCCACGCCGCCAGAAGAAGAGCTGCAACGCAGCGGATCCATGATGAGGTGATAGAGAAGCCGCTTCAAACAGGAGTAAATACGGAGAAATAAACCAAAATATCAATCAAAGAAAACAAAAAATCAATGAAAATAAATACACGTTGCTGAGAGTCGAAGTTTCTACCGGTTAGGAAAGCTGGCAGCTACTGAAACTGAAAAGACGCGGCGATCGCAAATTCGTCTCGTGCAGCGAAACGGGAGGAAAAAGTTGCAGTTTTGGCGGCTTTCCGGTAAAAACCAATTATATAAAAACTCAAAAGAAATCTAAAAAGAACCAAAATTCAAAATTTAAATGCAGATCGCCGCCGTGACCGGTGGACAGAACCGCCGACTGCGCGCGGGGTTCTTTTCCTCGAAGCGGGTGGAAGGTGCTGGGTATTTCCTGATCCACATAAAGGCTATTAAAAGGGAAAAAAATGTAAAATAAATAAAAAACGTGCAAAGGAAAAGAAGATCCTGGATGAAAAAAGCAACTGACTCGGGTATTGCAATGACGACGAACTTGAACGCGGTGAGGTGACCATACACCCCAATTCCTAAGAAGCTGCGGCCGGAGAGTTTTTCGGTGGAATA